GAATTGACAATGGTGAAGCAGTGTAATGATATTGGGGCATGAACATCCATTCCAGCAACAGAAAAACAACAAGATTGACCCACTGCAAATCTTGAAACCTCCATTTTTAGCTAATTTTCTTTAACTTTGGCCTATTTTCTCTGCTTTTTTATGTATAATTACCTTTATCGGAGTTCACAAGAGTTGAAGTTTTTAGCTTTACCTTCTTTACACAAGTAATTAATCAATATATTATACATAACCACATCTGGTTTTACCCGTCTTTCTTCATCTCAACAAGCAAACCTCTAGCTTCGTCAATCGGTCCTCTCCTTGGAAGATCACTCATTAACACACCAAAATTTACAAGTTGAGCTTTACATCCTCGATACTCCATATCAAACATCAGTTTCTTCACAGAATTGTACTTACCCACATAACATAAACCTTCCATCAATAAAGCATATGTCACAGCATTCGGTTTCTTCCCCCTTTTCACCATATCTTCAAAGAAGATTTTAGCCTTCTCGATATTACCTCTTTTACACAAAAACCCAATTTGACAATTATAAGTCACGGCAGTTGGCTCCACCTCTCTCTCAAGCATTTCATCAAACACCTGTCTAGCTCTATCCCACTCACCCTTCTCAAGCCACATTTTGACCATAATATTATACTAAACAGAGTTCAATTTTAAACCCAATTTATAACCATCCCTAAAGAGCTCAGTTGCATCAATAACCAGATCATTACCAACCAAAACATTTAGTATCGTATTAAAACAGAATGTCGCAGCGTCGAACGTCAAATGGGGGGAAAAAATAACGGGTTCGCCGAGTGTGGTTGCCGTCGTTCAAGTCGCCGGCGACGTCGACTGAGTTTTCAGGCTGCTCCATTTTCGCCGGGAGCTTTTTCACTGCGGAGGAAGCGAATGGAAATGACGGGAGTTTTTAAGAAAATGACGCGTTTTTCTCTCTCTCTCTCTCCCTCTCTTTTTTATTTTTTTTGGTTGAATATTCAAAGCCCATCCATGTCAGCAGGAAGTAAAGTGTGTAGTAACTCATGAAGTACGTCTAGCACTCTCCATTATTTTTTAAGTCACAAACCATCGAATTTTAAGGTCACGTGTTAATAATTAGTAACAATAACCAAATAATTGGTCACATATACCAAAACACCCCACTCCCGATCCCGATCCACCACCAATACTTAGTTACAGATCAACCAAATAGTTGGTCATAAACAATATCCCACCACTGCAACCATCACAACACCGCCGCCAACAAAGCCACCACTTGGCACCGCCACCAACGCCACATCTGCACCAGCAATACCACCGCACATACCACAACAAACAGAAACACCACCAACACCACAACCGCACCAAACCACCACCAACACTACACACAGCACAACCACCATCGATCGTCACCACCATCATCTACCCACCAAACACCAATGTACAAGGGTAATGCCGCCACCACCATCACACGCACAGCACACACCCCCACCCCCACCGCATCCAACCACACTACAATCTTCACACCGCAACCACGACACCTCCACCAAAAACAGATCTGCTCCTCCTACACACCCAACCGCAAAATCTGCCGTACCCCCGCACGAACACCCCCAGCCACCGCTACATCCCAACACCGCAACCACCGAGCCACACAAAATAAAAGAAAAAAGAAAAAAAAAAGAAGCGACAGAGATAGATGGACTACAGCGTCGGCGGTGGAGTCCAGAAGAAAGAGACTAGAGAAGAGTGAAGACGAGAGATGGAGCGTCGGGGTCGACGACGGTGGACTGCTGCGTCGTCGACGGCGGCGGACTACAGAGAGAAAAGGGGAGAGAATGGGAGACTGAGGGTAGAGGCGGGAGAGTTTGGAATGAATTCTAGGGTTAAGTTATTTTATTTTAATTGGGATGAAAATTATAAAATTAATATTAAATTAAATATAAAAAACCTGATTTTGAAATGTTAAAATGGAAAGCTAATTTGTGAAAATGGTATTTTAAATACCTGGCTGCCTGTAATTTCCTCTTCTTATTTTCTCTTCCAATCATTTCTTTTATCGAACGAGTTAGGATTACGAGGTATAAGTGGTTTGTCCCGTTTAATTTTATTTCTTCATGTTGATGAATTCCATGCTTATGAAAGTTATGATATGATATGGCCATCCAGTACCAAAGATGTGATATATTATGAGCTCTTAGCGGTTTCTAAAGATATGATATGTCGTTATTTTTTATTCGGGATTGCACCATTAATTGTGTCATACTGAGTATTTCTATATACTCACCCCTACTCATTACAGGTTCGTCCGAGACGAATGAGATTGTGGCGGAATAGTGATGCGGGTTGCCAAGCAGGTCAAAGAAAAAAGCAAATAGCCATTTAGTATATTTTGTTTCTATATGTATCTAAATTTATTTGTCAATTTTTTCTTTGTTCAAGGAATCGTTTGTAAATCAATCATTTGAGTATGTTTAAAATTTTTAGAAACTCGGATATTGTGTTTAATTGATATTTATTGTTGAAATAAAAGAATGTCTTTAATTTGTTTCGTTCCGCTTTTATTAAAAAGAAAAGTAGATTTTCGTAACACTCCAGATTGATGAAAATTGAGTTTACTCGTTCCTTTTCCGAAATTGAGTGCATTGATATTGATAAGGGTTACTTTTGTGTTTCTTTGGGGCTTTTCTCTGCTTCCATAAGTTGAAATCATCGGTCCAATTGAGTTTTTTTTTTTTTTCGTTTTATATAACAACTTTGGACGGAAACAGAGCAATGACAGTTGGCTGTTTTCGTTATTCACTGTTATAGCATTTTTTTCACTGCTACACTCGTGATTTATATTCTCACCCGATATATATTGAATAGCGGTGGTAGACAGTGGCGAAATAGCTGCCGCTATACTGCTACTCCACCGTTATTTAAATCCTTGGAA